ACCATGCATCATTCTTTCCTTGAAGTGGAACTTTGTTTCTTCCCTCTATTCATATAAATATGCACAGAAAAGACTCAAAGAATTTAGAATTTTTGTAGGATTATGGATGCTTTTTTTTTTTTTTTTACTTCCTTGTGATGTATATGTTTTCTGAAAAGAGCATGGATTGCTTAGATTTACTAAAATTAACATACATAAATAGGATATTAAAATTAGCATATAATTAAATTCCAGTAGCAGCATTTATTTGTAACTGTTTAAAATATTATTATAGGGGCACCTGAGTGGCTCAGTCAGTTAAGTGTCCGACTTCGGCTCAGGTCATGATCTCATGGTTCATGGGTTTGAGCCCTGCATTGGGCTCTGTGCTGACAGCTCAGAGCCTGGAGCCTGCTTTGGATTCTGTGTCTCCCTCTCTCTCTGCTCCTCCCTGACTCATGCTCTGTCTCTCTCTCTATCTCTCAAAAATAAATGAACATTAAAAATGTTTAAAAATAAAAAATTAAAATATTATTATAAAAATAAAAGATAAATAAAACAAATCACCCATAATCCCCTTACCTAAACTTACCTTTTTTATTTTCTAGTCTGTGCCTTTTTCATATACAGATATAACAGTGCATGTGTTAAATGAGTGCCCATAGCAGTGAATTTTAATAATGTACTTTGGGAAAAAAATAGCCTTCATATATATATTTTTTAATATTGTTAAATATTGTTTCCAATTCTTGTCCAACATCTTATTCTTTGCTTAGAACTAAAAAGATTGGCATGTTTATAGATATCTTGTTCTATCCAACAGGTATATAGTTAAAATGTTCAATAAAATGGTTTAAAATATTAATATCACTAGAGGGTATATATGGTATCTCTCTACAATTATTTTTTTCAAATCAGAAGAAGCATAGGAAAATTTTGTTTTAGAATATTATATTTGACTTTGCTAGCCTTTAAAAGTTTTATTTTTGTCTGGATAAATTATTTCCACTCTTTGTTTGAAGTCCATTTATCAAGCTCCTGATGTATATCCCTTCCCAGAACAGTGCCTGTGTCTCATTTATGATGATGCTATTGATCTTTAATAATACTAGACTCTGATGACTTGACATCTTTTGGTTATAGCTCTATTATCACTTATAAACTTTTGGAACAGATAAATTACTAGTGAGATTCACATTATTATCATTATGTTTATAGTCGCCTTACTGAAATTCATGACAGTATAAAAGGAAGCTAAAATTTAAGTGGAGTTTGCCCTTAAAAATGGAAGAATCTAACATTTTTGGTAGTTAGGTAATAAGTAGGTGAATATAGGAAATAAAAATGGTTTTGAAATAAAAAGTTTCAAGCATTAGTGAACTAGATTTTCTCTGTTAATAATCGGTGGTACATTAAAACATCAGTCATATTGTGAAAAAAACATAGCGATTAATCTTGGTCAGTTATCCATTCTCTTATAATGTCGTGACTATAAATTATTGTAGTAAATTTTACTTTTCAGAATGGCTTCAGTAAGGAACTCATAATAGAATGCCAGCTCTGGAAACTTACTTAGAGGTCATAGATGAGGCCCAAGAGGTTTTTCTGGGCATCTGGTTGGAGACAATTTCCTGAAAACTTCTAGAACAGTAGTTGGCCTTGAGCAAATGTTCTGTAAACGTTCATTTCTTTTTCCTTTTTTTCTAGAACACAGAAACCTAGTCTCCCATTCTTGGGATAAACACATCATGATTTGTTTGTTGTATTAATCATCTGCTCTGTGATAAAAAGCACCCCCCAAATCTCAGGGGCATATAACATGCATGTCCTCTGTGGATGGGTAGAAGCTTGCCCCTGTTGCTGTTGGCTGCCTGCAGTTGCAGCTGTGGCCAAGGCTCTGTTCCATGTGGATCTTTTCCATGAGTCTTCCTTTTGGAATCCAGGCTAATGGACCATTCCTTCAAGGATATACTATTCTTTAGGTAGAGATTAAAAAGCAAGAGCAGGCCTCTTAAACAAGCTCCTGCTTGGAGTAAGCACACTGTCATTTCTGTTGACATTTATTGGCCAATCAGGTCCATGACCAAGTCTGACTATGGGCAGTGAGATTTGCTCCGCCTCGCAGGAATCAGGGCAGACAACAAAGGTGTGTAATTCTCTTGCAGGGTAGGGAGCAAATAGTTGCCAACAATAATATGACCAACTGCACAATTGACAAATATTTTAATGTGGTGCCTTTATTTTAATATAGTGCCAAATATTTTAATGTAGTGCTATTCTTTCTGTTTCAGCTCTGCAGAAATGCAAGGTCTTGTCTCTTGCTATGTTTTCTATGGCAAAACTGAGTTCCAATTTTTTCATATTAGACTAATCATTTTTGGTTAGTTGGGAAGAATGTTTCCAAAGTTGCAACAGAATTTGAGGACCATCTGCAGCAATCAATTCTCCTTTGAATCAGTTTTTTTTACTAAACTTGAGGATGTTAATTTCTTTATAAAAAATGCTTGATGGAAGAGGGACTCTTGTTATTGTTTTTTTATCTTCTGAAAGAAGACTTTCAAGCCTTCAACTTAATCCTCAGAGAAGGTTTAAACTTTAGATGGTTAAATATTACTGGTCATACTCATATGAAGATGAAAAGCCATGAGAACAAAGGGTATGTGTCCACATTTTAAAAAATGTTTTATTTATTTATTTATTTTTTAAAATATTTTTATTTATTTCTAGGAGAGAGAGAGAGACAGCGTGAGCAGGGAAGGGTCAGAGAGAGAGGGAGACACAGACTCTGAAATAGGCTCCAGGCTCTGAGCTGGCAGTCAGCACAGAGCCTGACACAGGGCTCGAACCCACGAACCGCGAGATCATGACCTAAGCGAAAGTCGAATGCTTAACCGACTAAGCCACCCAGGCGCCCCTTTAAAAAATGTTTTAAAGGTCAATTTAACAATCAATAGGGTATTTATTATACATCCCTCAAGAGCATTCTTCAAAATTTGTTTTCTTTTTTTATACTTTTTTAAAAAATACTTTTATTTATTTCTGAGAGAGAGAGAGAGGCAGCGTGAGCAGGGGAGGGTCAGAGAGAGAGCGAGACACAAAATCTGAAGCAGGCTCCAGGCCTTGGGGTAGCTGTCAGCACAGAACCCGATGCAGGGCTCGAACCCACGAACTGTGAGATCATGACTTGAGCTGAAGTCGGACGCTTAACCAACTGAGCCACCCAGGCACCCCCAAAATTTGTTTTCAAGGAGAGGAGAGCTCTGGGTAAAGTGGAGGTGAGTTGGGGAAAAGGAATGGGGGAAAATGGGAATTAGTTATCTAGGGTCTATGTATTTCTTTTATACTTCAAAAATACATTTAAATATCACAGCAAACCTTTAATGGATGGATGGGAGATGACATGAGTTACAGTGAGAGAAAGAGAGAAGGGTCATCTTTCTCATGCCTGGGAATTGGATGATCTCTTCAGATTCTTCATATTAAAATCTGTCTATTTAACATGTATCCATCACTAGCTATTAAGTGATAAGTACATTCACAGTTTTAGGGGCTGAGAGAGGAAAGAACAGCAAGAGACATAAAGGGACTATAGAGAAGGGGTTTATAGAGGCACAGAGGGCAGACCGAGCAGAGGAATGCTGAGACACCAGGGCCAGAGATCTGTGTGGTTCCCTAGAACACTCGCCTTCTCTTTCCTTATCCTTCACAAGAGCCATATTGGTAGAAAAAAAATTTGCTGTCATTTTGAATGTAAATGGGAAATGTGCATCTGTTCAGTGTGCAATGTAAAGAAGAATCACACCAAATTACAGGGTATGAAGTGGTAAGTCATTTGAGTGAATTACCTACTAAATGTCAGCCATGACCTAATAATATGTTTTCCTTTATATGGAAAAGCAGTGCCACTCCACTGCTCTCACTAGGACTGTTTCTACCTCTATCTTGCTTTGTCCCCCTTGTCACCAGCTGGAGTGAGGGGTCAGGTCACTGTCATGAAACACAGTGACCCTGAATGGCCTTCATAAGAACTGACCCTTGGCCATGGCTTCATTTACACCTTGTCTGGTGTTCTAAGATTAATCAGCCTCAGGCAAGAATCCAATAGTTTTATAATTACATAATGTTTATTTTTATAATACTCAAGACCATGAGTTATTATTAAAGAATGTGTACAGGTTTTTTCTCTTAGTTTTTCTAGACTGAATTTTTACAGATGGCAAACAGTGATATAAACAACTAAAATGAGATTTTCAAGGTTCCGTAACATTCTATTCAGATGTAAGAATTTTACTATATCCCATTTAGTCTGAGTTAAAAAAAAAAAACAACCCTTTCTTGGGGCACCTGGGTGGCGCAGTTGGCTAACAGTCCAACTTCAGCTCAAGTCATGATCTTGCAGTTCGTGAGTTTGAGCCCTGCGTCGGGCTCTGTGCTGACAGCTCCAAGCCTGGAGCCTGCTTCGGATTCTGTGTCTCCCTCTCTCTTTAACTCTCCCCTGCTGGCACTCTGTTTCTGTCTCTCTCTCTTTCAAAAATAAACATAAGACACTTTTTCTGGAACTGTCCTTCCTCTCCATGAAGACTTGAGGTAGAAGCATGGGAGAGAGTGTATTGGTATCTGTTTTATCAGTTTGCCTTCTCCGAAACTTGAAGTTTGAATGTTCTTTGTCTTCTAATTATGCTGAAGGCATGGGTTTTGTATAGTTTCATTTGTTTTATTGTTTCTATATTGTTTTATTGTTCTCTATTGTTCTTTTGGAAGAAATGCTGGGTAATTCAGATTTACATGGCTGGCATTGCCTTGGCAACCCAGTATTCCTATAACTTTTTTTTCTAGGTTCCCAATATTTGGGGGCACTGATAGTTCCAAGTTAATTTTGAATTTTACTATATAACCAGTAAGTCTGATTTTAGTTTCTGACTGTGTTTATTATTTATTTGCTTTTTTTCAGATCAATCTGATTCTTGAAAATCTCTGAAGAGATTGAATTTTAAGGCTATGACTCAATATTACTTTCATGAGACACGTTTTGGAAGAACAATACTTGGTCTAGCAGAGCTATTCTAATCTAAATCATCTTATAATGTAGAGACCTCTTCCTATTACAAAGAATTTATTGTTTAGATTTGATTTAAGCAAATGTTTTGGAGGATTTTGATCTAAGCATTTGTGAAGGTAATCATGAAAGTAGAACAAAACATACATAGTCTTGACACGAGATAAATGTGACCATATAAGGTGGAAGAACACTGTTGGCTCCTATATCTGAAAATTAAGGAATAGTGAGTATTTTTATGTATTTAGTAGCATTGGTTTGTTTTGCTATTTCTGCAATATATATTTTCTATATATCATCATAAATTACAACAATAACCTGAACAGAACCTTGGTAATCATAAAATCTAACGTTTTCATTTAAAACATAATAAAATGAGTCCAAATAAATTTCCTAAAAATCGTATAATATGTTAAGGATAAAGCTGAGTCAGGAACTGTGAATCAGTTAGCTTTTTCTGTATAACAGTCTACCTCAAAACATAGTGTGGTAGGGTCCCCTCCTTAAAGAGGAAAAAAAGAGGAAAGGAGGAAAAAAGCCCCCCAAATCCCACAAAACTTCAAAGTAACCTGGCTCTGCACCTACATGACAACATCCCTCATGACCTTGTAAACCGAGAGCACTTAGTCAGACTACATGTTTGTGTGTGTTCCCATATATGGGAGACAAAGAAATAGAAAATGTATAAAAAACTATGCCACGTGACGTTCAGTGCTCAGTTCTTCAGGTATGAAACCAACTGAGTGGTGCCAGCAGGAATAAAGTTGCTTCCTGGAAAACAAACAAACAAACAAACATAAAAACCCCTTTCTTTAGGAGAGGTTACATCTGCTAGTGAGTGGGCACAAGCATCCTTGATGTTTGTTGGCACTGATCATCCATCTACCTAACAACTTAAAAGTACCACTCAGGAGCTCACTCCTCAAACCCTTTACCCTTCACTCCTCATGCTTTCAACTTGACAAATCCTCTTCTGAACTTGTCTTCTGTTTAAACTCCAGGAAATGCAAATTATACAGAGCTGTGTCTTCCAGACCCATGCAATGGCATTTTCAAATACCACAGCACATTGTGAAAATCCTGATTTCTTCACCCTAATAGAGAATGTTTAGTAAATGGTGGGCCTTGGCACACCACTGCATCAGCACATCAGTAAACTTCGGCATAACCATGCTGGCTTCTGTGCTTTTACACCTGCCCCTACCCTGGAGTCCCGGAATTTATTGTCTCCCTCAAGTGCCTGCAGCTGGCCTGTTGCAGCAGGAGCTCTTCTAATGCAGGCTCGGGGAGCAGCAGCCTCAGCCTCCTCATTTCATCCAAGTTGGAATTAAACTTTGCTTCAGACCAGACCGTGGACATGTCTTCCCTGAGGCTGGTGTTCGCAGTAGGTTTTTTACCCTCAAGCCTATTTTAATGTCCAGGTGAATAAGAAACCCTGGATCTGTGTAGTCCCTCTCCTGTTGGCCTTACATAGTTACCTTTGCTTCATGCCTGAGCCAGAGTGCTTTGACTGTGTGTGTGACTGTAATATAGCCCAGTGGGTAAGAGTTTGGGTTCTGGAGTCAGGATGACGTGATTTAAAATTCCTGTTCTACAGTTTACTAATAGCATGATGACGGGAAAGTTATCGACCTCTCTACAAGCTTCAGCTTTTCTCATCCATAAAATGGATAGGGGCGCCTGGGTGGTCCAGTTGGTTGATTTCTGCTCAGGTCATGATCTCATGGTCATGGGATTGAGCCCCGAGTTGGGCTCCGTGCTGACAGCACAGAGCTTGCTTGGGATTCTCTCCCTCCCTCTCCCTCTATCAGTCCTTCACTTATGTGTGCATATGTGTGCTTCTCTCTCTCTCAAAAAAAAAAAAAAAACAAAACAACAACAACAAACAAATAGTAACTCCCTTAGAGAATTGTTGAAGGATTAAGTGAAGTAATACATGTCAGATGCTTGGCATCCAATGGTTGTTCAATAAGTGTTAGCCATTATTATTATGACTGAGATGTTGACTTTGCAACCAGTAGAGGCAGATATAACTCTAAAGCTGCTTTTGGATAAAGACTGGCATATTAATTAATGTTCATTAAATGAGTAAATGATGGGAATGCCCTTGTCATACAGTTAGTCTTCAAGGTAGAGATTGAAAATAGGATCAGAGTTGTTTGTTCTCTAGAAATATTTTTAATTGCTTTCTGCATGTAAGATCTTATTAGTGATACAATAAGATTCCCTCTAGGGAAGTCACATTCTTCTATATGGCAGCATAGCCATGGACAAAATAAATACAGAAAGCATAAGGCAGATCTAGTAGGATTATGAGATTTTAAATCATAAGGTGATTACAAACTATGTTTTCTTAAAAATGGAAATAGCATCATTATTAGTCAGATTATTGAAACAAATTCAGAAAACATAGAAAAGTGTAAAGGGTAAGATTATATCAATTGTTACTTGAGTATCTGTAGATGATTACTACTTAAAAATATGGTCATCTAGAAAGTTGCTAGAAACTTGCTATTCAGTGTAGTTTTCAGTTTAACAGTATTGGCCTCACCTGGGAACTTGTTAGAAAGGTACACCCTTCAGCCCCATCCAAGAGCTAGAATCAGAAATGTCTTTAATCAAGATCCTCAGCTGATTTTTATGTAAATAAAACTCTGAGAAGCATTGATCTGGTGGATTGTATAATATATACCAAATTGAATGAATTCTCTACATCCTGGATTTCTCTTTGGCAATTTAGAGATTAGATAACCTGAAAACTTTCTTGCTACAGAATGTCTGGGAAACTATGTAAAATAGACTTTTCTTTGAAGGATTACAGAGTACAAGAGAAAGAGAAATTGTTAAGGAGCAAAGCAAAAACTAAAGACAGGAGTAAGTGGATGGTGAAATATGAGTTGCCCTGAGGGCGTTTGCTGGTAGTCAAGGAGCTTAGGTTTGAGTAGCTCAAGGGACAAGAGCTTGTGTTGAAGATGTGGGACCCAAGGAATGGAATCCCAGGCTAAGGCCATGGTTCTTAAAGGCTGAATGGCCAGGAAAGTGCGAACTAGTAAAAAATCAACCCACATACAAAGGGAGATGAAGTTGTAATTTGTGTGTCTCAGTCTGAGCTCTGGGCAGGAAAAAGTATTCTCTGAGAATGTGTAATCACAGTCCTTCTTTTACTCACATTGGGCATTTGAATTCATGTCAAAGTAATCCTCATGCCAAGAAGTTACTATGAAAGTCCTAATTTTGGAAAGAGCCCCATGGGGCCTGAAAGAAGCAAATGCTTATCCTTTTTGAGCACTCAGCCCCAAAGGATGCCCATAGCTCTACTTAACATGATCTCTTAACCTATAAGTACAAAACACACACGCAAAATGATCCCCTTTGAGTTAGAATCACCAGACACAAGTAAGAGACTTAGAACTTCAAGAATTTTGAATGATACAGTTATTGGGTGCAAATTAAGTATGTTAAGATGCTGAAAAAAAAAAAAAGAATTAGGGTTGCCTAGGTGGCTCAGTCGGTTAAGCATCTACTCTTGGTATCAGCTCAGGTCATGATTTCACAGTTGGTGAGGTTGAGTCTCATGTCAGGCTCTGTGTGGCAGTGAGAAGCCTGCTGGGGATTCTCTCTCTCTTCTTCTCTCTCTGCCCCTCTGCCCTTTGCACTGTCTCTGTCTCTCTCTGAATAAATAAATAAATAATAAAAAATAAATAGAATGAAATGAAAAACACCAGAAACAAGATCTTCTATGCTCTAGTAATTTCTTGTAACCTCCTTTTGTCCTTTTTAACATCTCTTGAGATTCATCTTGTCCTAAGACAGGGCATATCCAGGACATGGATCAGCTCTCACTTCAGCAGTAAACAACCAAGAGAAAGCAAAAAGCACAGTTACATGCTGACCCTTTTCTGCATGGTGGCTCCACCCATTAGCTTATGTCGTATGATCTGTGCCCTGGAATATGATTTATAATTAGGATTTTCCCTCTTTAGAGACGAGAAGGGGTGAGGGTGGGGTTCAGAGCAGGGGTGTGATGTGGGCAGGGGAAGTTAGAGAGAAGCCCAAAAGAGTATGTCTTTTCATAGAAGACTGTAACATCAGAGAATATGTTTAAGGGAAAACAACGATTCCATTGAATTCCTTAATTTTAATGAATTTACTCTTGTCGTTTATGTTGTAATTATGTTAATTAAAAAATCACTCACAGTGCGTGTTAACGGTGAAGACCCTGACCTATTTATGTGATTCTTAAAAATGAAATGATCTGTAAGTCCTTGTTTTCCAAAGTCCTCAGGATTGCTCAGTTTGAGAACCAATAATGATTGCTTGGCATCTTGAGGCAACACAAGAATGTTCTACATGTGAACATTACTACAACATTTGCAGCTGTGTGTTCTTTACCCACAGAGGGCTTCTGCTCCTCTTCCTCCATGTTGCTGACCTTGGTAATTTATCCCTCAGAAGAGAAAAGGCATCGTTCCATTAACATGGGCCTTTCTATTCTTTTAATGCAGGTCTAGGAAAGCTTCCTCATCCCATAGGAACTCAGATGTATCCTAGTTTCTTCCTGCTGAGCCCTTTCTGTCTCTCCAGGGACTCTCTTGGACAAGATCTAAGAAGACCCGTGGTAGCTCTCTTGTGCATGGTCTCCACCTGGTCTACAGCAGATACTCACGTATCTGGTTCCACAAGCTCAGGAATGTAGGCTGCTCCAAGAAGCTGCATTTTCTTTTTCTTTTCTTTTCTTTTCTTTTTTTTATATATATATATTTTTTAATGTTTTATTTATTTCTAGGAGAGAGAGAGAGACAGCGTGAGCAGGGGAGGGTCAGAGAGAGAGGGAGTCACAAACTCTGAAACAGGCTCCAGGCTCTGAGCTGGCAGTTAGCACAGAGCCCGACGTGGGGCTCGAACCCACGAACCGCGAGATCATGACCTGAGCGAAAGTCGGACGCTTAACTGACTAAGCCACCCGGGCGCCCCTTCTTTTTCTTTTCTATCAAATTCTCTAGCTAACTGGTTTCTTGCCTTTTAGATTTTCCAGTTGAGAGTCAGTCTATAGGGGCCTCATCTTTAGGGGTCAAATATCAAAGTCTCTAAGTGGCCTTCTTAATTTTATTTGCGAGTCTTCTATTATTTGCAAGGATGGGAGGAGCAGCCCTTAATTCACTACCTTGGGAGAGAGGTTGGGCCTCTTGGTACACAGGTAACTTTCTTTAATGCCCTAATCTCTGG